CCTCCCCCCGATCCATTGCTATTGTTTCAGTAAACCTTTCTAAATAAATTATTCTTTTATGCTAATAGCTTGCAATTTTAGTTATTTCTTTTTTATTAAAAATATTAAAAGTTTTTAGCGTGTTTTTATTGATGTAGTAGTTCAAAATCTTAGAACCATATTCTGTGGTGAATGGATTCAACTTCTATTATATCTAGTGTGCCTAGAGACTGATGAAAGAGTCTGCATAGCGTTTGTTTGTCTTAAGAATTTTTGTAACCATTTTTTTAGTTCTGTTCACCAAACACATTGTCTGTGCCACATTTTCAGGTAAGCACTGTATATTGTACATTGAAGTGAATGATATCAGTAATAATTAATAGTAATAATAAAAGCGTAATTTAAATGCTATGAACAAAAAGAAATACAAGCAGTAGATTAACTTTAATTTGTATTACAAAAAGTGTGGAAGCAAGAGCCATTAACAAAAGTAATCTTATTTTTGTCTCACTGCTTAGAAATTTTAATTTAGAGAGTCAGGTTTATTTGGTAGATATAATTCACTTTTTGTTGTTTTTAATGTTAAAAGATAAAAGAATTGATTTTATGCATTTTACTGCAGTACTTTCATCGTGTTCAGCTATTTTTCGAAATTATTCACAAAATAATTACTAACTTCCATGCGCGGTACTTAGTGCCACATTATAAATGATACAATACTTCCATAACCACATTTTAGTTATATAGAACACATTTTTTAATTATTAGAACTCTACAAATGGTGTATTACTTTAAAACACTGAACTTTTCTATGTTTCCTATATGTAAATTTCTGAGATTAGTTTGAAAATTTATTATATCAGATCTTTACTTTTCGCAAATTATGTCACACTTTTACATATAATATATTTGTGTTGTTAAAGTAACCCAATTTCCTTATTAAGAGATTTAGTTAGAGAAAATATTTCCTAGTTTAGGTCAAATTATTTCAATACGGCAAAATATACGAGGGCTGCCTACTTAAGAAAAGGCCTTGTGGCCTTTTCTTAAGCATCTTCTGCACACTCTAGTTTATACAGATATGTAATAAACATAAATGGATTACAGTTATACAGTACAAAGTCTGTAATCCAGACTCGTCGGGACTTCGGTAATTCCGGATTAGGGGTTTTTCTGGATTAGATCATCCAGAAATATAGATCATCAATTTAAATCTGGTCAGATGGCATGCAGAAATTATACAGTAAAAATATGAAACCGTAATTTATGAAATAAAGAGCAATTATGATCTAAAAGGTATCAAATTTTACAAAAAAAAAAAAAAAAAAAAAAAAAAAAAAAAAAAAGAAGCTTAATATTTATTTGTTTACTTTATTAAACATTTCTCTCAATGCCTGCATGCGTAAAGTTTGTGGCTTTGAGGTCTGGATTATAGATCATTCCGGATAATGGATGTCTGGATTATGGACTATGTACTGTATAACCTTAACAGGGTGAGATACAACCTCAGTAAGATGAGGAAATTTCAAATGATTATACAGTACAATGTCCGTAATCCGGAATGATCTATAATCCAGACCTCAAAGCCACAAACTTTACGCATGTGCATACATTATGCATGCACGTAGACAATATGCATACACTGCGCATGCATGTAAAGAATGTGCATACATTTCACGCGTATTCTTTACGCATGCATTGAAAGAAATGTTTAATGATGAAGTAAACAAATAAATATTAAGCTTTTTTTTTTTAAAAAAAAATTATACCTTTTAGATCATAATTGCCTTTTTTTCATAAATTATGGTTTCATATTTTTAATAGTATAATTTCTGCATGCAGTCTTACCAGATTTAAATTGGTGATCTATAATCCGGAAAAACCCCTAATCCGGAATCGCCAAAGTCCCGACGAGTCTGGATTATGGACTTTGTACTGAATTGGATATTTTCAATTATTTAAAAATTTTGAATATTACAGAAGTATTTTAATACCCTGAAAAGTATAATATCTTATTGGATCATTAAAACATTGTTGTAGTTACCTGTTCTCTAAAATAGGAGTTCATCACTCTAATCATTTAGAAAATAATCCAGTGTTGCGCGACATCCATTTACATGTTTAGTGACATTATACTCATGGCATTTTATTATGCTGCATTCATGTTACTCTATGGCTTTATCTTAAATCGAAATGAGTTGTTACATGAATGTTGCAGTGTGACTTCACAACAAAGTCGCAGCGTGACTTAACAGCAATGTCACAATGAATCAGACTGGGACTTTGATGTTGGAATCTGACTTCAAATCAACGTCGCAAAAAGCGGACATTTCTTACAACGATACTGCGACACTGAGGTCGTCACAATGTGACACGTTTGCAATATTGCAGCAACGTGCGATGCTGTTGGGTTTTTTTTATATATGTAACATTATTATTCCTATAGAATTTTATACTAAAAACAGACTTTATTTTACATACTGCAGTTAAATAATACATTTACCAGAGTGGCTGTATAACAAATGAAATTTCATGGCAAAATAAATTAAAATTCATGGGGGAAAAAAAACACTTCTTTATGCCATAATATTGAAATTATTATTTGAAACAAATTTTATGTGCATCAGAAATTTTGTAACCACATCATGGGAATATCATTATCATTGCGCTAGAGCAGGTGTCAAAATGGGGTTGATAGTTGCATATGCATCGGGATTACCATAATAAGAATCCCACTGATTAAAAAAGAAATTGATAAAATTGATAATTTATTGTTCATTGATTTAAAGCTGCATCATGTAGTAAAGAAGAAATATAAAACAACTAGAAGGAAAATAAAATCAAAAGTCGTTAATTCGGACACCCATAATCCAGAATAATCTATAATCCGGACCTCAAAGCTACAAACTTTCTGCACATGCATCGCGTTGACGCATGCGTATAGGAATTTACGCATGCGCGTAAGAACATTATGCACACGCGTTTAATGTATAACAGATGGTATAAGCTAAAATTATCTAATTATCAATTTCAGTTAATGTTGCAGATTGCATTGTTCCTTAATCTTCGTATTGGATCCGGCTTATTATTTTTTGCAGACTGTTAGAGCAATTTTATAAAAGTAAGCTTGAACTTTCGATTATGTCAAATAGAATTTCCGATGCTGGAGCTCCCAAAGGATCTACAAAGCGAAAGTATGTTTCGATGTCCATCAAACAAAAAAAAGGAATTGCTGAAAAAAATGGATAAAGGCATATCCTTTGTTTCTCTAACCATTTCAAAATCTGTTTATCAATTTCACACTGCTCTGCGGAGGGGGGGGGGACACCGCAGCGCGCAATGAATTGGAAGTTGATCTGTCAGCACTATTCTTATCTTCAGGGCAGATGTTTTTATTTTATTCGGCTTATAATTCCTTACTAAATGTAGTATTTCATCTCGATGTACTCCGTCTTTGATATGATTTAAATTAAATTCCTCGTCATTATAATTCACTTCCGATAGTGAAGAAAGTGACATAGAGGTTATTGAAAATGAAAAAATTTTGATTGACAAATTAGTCCGTATTCTCGATACAGCAATTATAGGACTTGAACAGCGGAACTTTGTAATTGAACAAGAAATTATGTCTGTTTATAGAATTAAAGAGAAAGTATTATCACATAAAACGAAGCAACTTAAACAACTTACATTGAAAGAAATACTAATTCAGAAGTAAAACAACAAAAATCAGCATTATATTTACAAAATTTTCACAGGACTAGTTTCCATGGTTTTACCGAACCACCATCTTCAGCTGCAAAACCGCAAATGAACAAGATAGGAAATAATGATTAGATAAGATAAGAAAGGCCTGGACAAGAATAAGCAAGTGGCGCCATCTGTTGGTGAAACCAGAACTAAAACATAATTTCTTAAAAGGCCGAAGGCAAATTTGGATTGGAAAAATCTTATCTAATCATTATCAATTTTTCTTATCTTATCTAATCATTATTTCCTATCTTGTTCATTTGCGGTTTTGCAGCTGAAGATGGTGGTTCGGTAAAACCATCGAAACTAGTCCTGTGAAAATTTTGTAAATATAACGCTGATTTTTGTTGTTTGACTTCTGAATTAGTATTTATTCGGCGTGTTATTGTGTCTTAATTATTGAAAGAAATGTTTAATAAAGTAAACAAAAAAAAATATTAAGCTTTTGTTTTTGTAAATTTTGATACCCTTTAGATCATAATTGTTCTTTGTTTCAAAAATTATTAATTCATATTTTAATTTTATAATTTCTGCATGCCATCTTACCAGATTTAAACTAAAGACCTATAATCCGGAAAAATCGATAATCCAGAATTGCCGAAGTCCCGACGAGTCCGGATTAACGACTTTTGACTGTATATACTTAAAATATTTATTACGTTTTAAACATGAACAGTATTTTTTAATATACTTGTTATGCAACAAGTGCAATATAAAAAAGTAACATGCTACAACAGAATACATGATGAAAAAAAAGATACAAAGAAATGAAAGATTATAATAATTTGGAATATTTTTTAACGAGATGATTTAAAAATTAAGCAATTTTATGCAAAATATTTAAAAAATTGCATAAATCGCATTTTTGTGCCATTACAATCTGTGATTTTGTATCTGATAATTTGTTTATATTTGTAAAATTAAAAATCACGAAACATAAATCTAATAAACCACTTTTTTGAAAACTTGCTTATCTTTTATTTTTATTATTATCTTTTAGTTATTCATGCACATTTGTATTATGATTATGCTGTATGCTGTATATTACAGAGAAAAATGTAAGGAGGTCAATGAAGAAAATTTTTTTAAAAAAGGGTTAATGGAAAAAAAGGTTGGGAATCTCTAAAGAAATTGCTGCTGACTTGGGACTAGATTGTTCTCTTTCAGAAGTGTGCACAATGCATAATAAGAATTTTTACCACAGTTTCATAAAATCAAAAATAAAAATAGCACATAAGAAATACTCTTTTTTTTTTTTTTTTTATACTTACTGGCACAGTTTCCTTCTCTCTTGTCTTTGTAGGCATTCTGTCTAAAATATTTGACCTGCTTTTCGTTAGCTTGAATTCCTGTGCTTTGGGTTTATAACCATCCTTTAAACTCATCTGAAAGTGTGCAGTTTTTATTAAAATATATCAATTACAATTAACAAGAGTTAAATTAAACCTTGCCATAGTAAAATTGCTTACTTCCTTTCTGTTTAGCTCAGTATGCTTTAATTTTAATTATCAATACTATTTTTAACACAATTTGCCTTATGTAAATATGATATATATTCTTATCTACTAATTTTATGTGAATAAATAGTCTGAAAAAAGTTAAACTATGAAATGATTCAAAAAGTAATCTTCGCTTGGTTGTAAATAAAATATACAGATCGGGGGAAAAAAAAAATGTTTATTTAAGTCTAAAAAGCATAGCTATACTCTATTTTTTAACATAGTTGCCATGTAAATTCAAGCACTTGCCACTGTGTTTTATCAATTTAAAATTTCTTTTGCATAAAATTTTGCCTGTTGAGATTTCGATCAACCCGACCTAGCATTTTGAAGATCAGCACAATTCTGGTTTCCAAGCCAATTCTTCAAACAAATGAAGATGAAAATTGGAAGGAGCCAAGTCCGGACTGCAAAAAAAAATCTTGAACTTACAAAGCAGCAAGAGTGAGCGTTGCCATGCAAGAACAAAACCTCCAGATGTTAGCAGACTATATTTGTTCTTGGTGGATTTTCTCAATTTCTTCAGTCTTAACAATAAACTTCAGAAAAAGTTTCTTACGAAGTCCCATGAGGTCAACAAGCAAGATTCTCTTAGCGTAAAAAAGACTGTGGTTATAAGCTTAATTTCTGGCAAAGTCTGACAGGCTTTCATCAGCTTGTTTGGAGTACTTGGTGTGACCCCATGCTGTATGCATGGATCATGTATATTTCTGCATGCGGAAATTAAAGACTTTTAAGGACTACCAACGAAAAATTTAAGGACCTATATCAAGCACATAGGAACTGAATAAATGGAACTGAAACACAAGCTGAATTATCTACACCCGAACTTCACTTTTGTAATTTGTGAGAATAAAATGAATTTATAAGTAGGATGCATTATTTTTAAACATAATTAATTTAATTACACAATGATTTCAAGAATAAAATTTTAAGCAAGTAGCATTAACCAATTCATGACCAATGACCCGTAGGCACAATGCAACAATACCTCTCTTACCAATCCAGCGTAGCCTCAATGCGAAGTGCTCAGATCAATCTCTTCAACTCAGCGTCGCATATGCATAATTTGAAAACAGAACAATTCATTTAAATTTTTAAATGCCAGTAGATGTGCTAAATGGTAACAGTTTTCACATCAGTTGAGTCACATGGCCTCTAACCTTCATGTATGTGCATCAGTATCTGTTCTGCACTTCTGGTTTTGATGGATTTATTGGTATAAATAAACTGGGAACAAAACTCTAAGTTAAAGGGACACTGGCATTACTATCTATGTCTTTTTTTTTTTCTCTTTTTATTATTAGAATGCGAGGTGCGAGGAAGTACATCCAACTCAATGTTTTTATTTACGTTATTTCTTTTTTAATCCAAAGGGGCTTTTTGTCCCTGAAGGACTATTGTTTTCGTTTTGCGATTTTGCGTCGGACTCATAAACGTCGGTTCACTTTTCAAACTGTTGCCACAAAATGTTAGAGTCCTGCATTATATTTGAAGAAATTAAATAATGAAAAATCTGCATAAATGATTGTCTATTTCTTGCATTGTGATAAAACAATGGTACATAGAGCCATCGAATTTTGAATGACGAAATCCTACTGCGAATATGGGCATCTGAAATCCCAAATTTGGAATTTGTTTTATTATAGATTTTATATTTTGTAAAACTTTAACGAATTTTTGATTTACAAACTCAATGCTTTAAAAGCGAGAAATGGCAACGTTATATAGAAAAAAAATACTTTTATCTCCAGCTCGTGAGACTGTGTATATCGGAAATTCTAAGGATTGCTTAATTTAACATTATTTTGCGATATTGCTCTTGAACTCAATTTTATGGTTTAAGTGCAAAGAACATGATATTTAATAAATAAAGGTAACACTTAAAACGTTAAAAAAACACCCCTTTGGACGTAATTTAAAATCTGAAACATTTCAGATTTTTTTTTTTTTTTTTGTTAGGAGAAGGTGAGGAAATGCAACTAACTGATTACAGCAAGTGTAATATTGCTGTGATGGAAAACTCAGACCAGCTGTCCTTTTTAATATTTATTTTAAAACTTAACATAGGCTTCCTTGGTTAATTAAAAAGTAACATTACAGCATTATTACAGAAGGGGAAAGACATCAGCTTTCCTGATGCGTTATGTGTCTCACTTGCTAAGCATTTCTCAGAAAAAAAAAGACATCCTTGTCCTGTATGTCGATCCTCATTTTGAATTATTCCACATACAGCAGAATTTTTTAATTGGAATTTAATTACCTAGAAGTAATTATTGCTTAATTTTCTTTTAACGTTCGTACTTATAATTTTGTTTTCATGTGTATAGCTATAATTTTAGTATTTTGCATGTTTCATTTATTTCTATTACTGTGATATTCTTTATATTAAGAATAAATATATTAAATACATAACTTCAAAAATTGAGGCCATTATATTAAAAAGCTGATTTTATATGAATTTTCCATTAAAGTAAGCTTAACTGCTAAAAATGTGTGGGCCAGTGGCGACATTCCGTTTGGGTAGGGGGAGTCGGACCCATGACTGCGCTTCATTCTCTTCATGCTGGCCCTAAAGGGGTTAAATTATAAAATTCTTGAAACATTCATATTTTAAACTTATAATAGTCCCACATATTTTAAAGATTAGTGGCTTTTTCTTTAAATTTTACTAATAGTGAGTTTTATATTTATTCTTTCTTTTATGTCTCATTTCATCATGTTTTCACTCAGTTCCGAGGTTTATACAAACTTTATGTCAACTGGCATAGGTTAAATTGTGAGGTAAAATAATAACAAGCATAACTCTTACCAGAAGCTTACCTGTTAACACCAGAGATGCTTGCTTAGAGACAGAGAGCCACTTATCAGAACAGACCTGAATGCCTGACATTGGTATGGTTGAAAAGTGTTGAAAGTTAGCTATCCTTTACCTGACCCAGTTAATATACAGTATTTAATATAAAATTCCAACAAGCTTCTGAAGCACCAGAGATGATAGGCTGTTTTGTATTAAATCTCATTAAATGTAAGGAATAAAGTGTTATGTCTATACATTTTTGTGTTGTATCTTGCATCCACAATTGGGTTTAAGGAAAAGTGATAACTCACTTCAACATGTAGAGATAACTTCTACGTGTAAGCAGTGTTGTACCTTGCATCCACAATTAGGTTTAAGGAAAAGTGATAACTCACTTCAACATGTAGAGATAACTTCTACGTGTAAGCAGTTAGATACAAATAACTAAATTATATAGTTAGATACCCTTAGTCATAATAAATGGTTACATTTGCAATTTTTTTATTATTATTTCTAAAAAATATTCATTAAAAACATTTTACAGCAGTTATAATTTAATAGTATAGATGATATTGATTCTAAAATAATATTAGTATAATTATACATTAAAAGCTATAAAACATTTATGTTTTGCAGTCGCAACAAACAACAAAATGTTCCTGCATCTTTTTAATTTGAAAATTTTCCAAACATTTATCTAATTTACATCAGTTTTCTTTTCTTTAACATCTTTTCCAAGCTTGCTCTAATAAAAAATAAAATTTTCCCGTTCGTCTCTGCTTTACCTCCTAATTTTTTAATTTCAGCAATGTACCTTTGAAGAATAATTTTTCTCTCCTTTTATAAAAACAATTTCTTCTTCAATGAGTTTTCTTTTTGTTTTAGAATTTTCAGTTTAATTAAAGATTTCTGTTATTCTAAAGAAATGCTTGTACTTAAGAGAGGTATGTACGTTACACCGAGACATATACGACAAATCTTTTAACAAATTGTTGATTTTCAATTTCTCTCCTTTCTCTGATTGTTTCAATCCTTCGGTCTCGTAAAAAGATAAGGATATAATAGGAAGATAAACATTTTAAGAGAAAGATGTCTGGGATCAAAAGGAGAAAATTCATATAATTTTGTTTTCACTGTTCTTCCAAAAATTCTCCAAAAGACAAGAAATTCATCATAAATTTTCTTTAAAACATGTCCATTACATGTTAATATATGAAGTTATTTTGTCAGATATTTCTGGGAAATGTATAGCTTGCCTATCCTTCTAAACCTTCTGAAGTGCAAGGTCTAAAATCCAAAAGAAAAATTACCCCTACCAATTCTATAAGAGAGAAAAAACTCTTATGAAAATATATAAAAGAAGACAAATGAAATTAATTTTAAATTAGCTTTTTTGTTTTTCCTAAGGATTTTTTTGGAAAACTGCTTTCTATAATTTATGGCAGAAGAAAATATGTTTTATTTTAATGCTATTTCTTAAACATAATTTTAATACATTATTCTTATTTTTATGATATTCATCAACATTTTTACATTTGTAAAAAAGAAATCGCAGATCTCTGAATATAAAATTTCATACACAAACTGATCTTGAAATCATCAAAATGTTGATAAGTTGCCAAATTCAGCACTGCTTAATAAAAGAAATTATATCCCCAAAAGGGAAAAGTTTTTGATGTAATATTTTATGAACTCTTCATTCACAAAAATGAAATTATTTTGAAATGTTTATGTTTCAGTCGAGGAAGGTCCATGTGACTAAAACTCAAGTATTCATCATTTATATTAAAATGTAGAAAAGAATTCAAACATTAACTGGTCAAATACATATTTTTCAATGCATCACCAAAACATATTCCTATATTCATATATTAATTCACATTCAAAATGGCAATTGTAAAAAAAAAAAAAAAAAAAAAAAAAAAAAAAAAAACAATTGCAAAAAATGGCAATTGCAAGGAGGGGAAAAAAAAAAAAAAGATAGAAATGTCAGATAAGTAAGATTAAGAATGTCCTGTCAATTTTGGCTGAAATTGACGACTTTTAAGGACCAAAAATAATTTCCAAAAAATCTAAGTACTTTTAA